CAGGCTTGTAATGCCTGTAGTCTTGACCTTTACAGAAAAAGTGTGCCCACTTCCTACCCCAGCAGCTTGGCTAGGGAAGCGAACCAGAATTTCATCCTAGAAAATCTGCTTTCCCTCTCCATTTAAAAGGAAACGTTACTGCTTTATTTATTTGAATATCAATTTTAATTTTAGCAGATAAAATAGTCTTTATTTGTCTATTTAGCGAATATGCAGAATCACAATAAATTATTTGAATACAGAAAGCAGCTCAGGTCACAACCTGTAGATACAGGGAGATGTTGAGACCTTTCACTCTCTTCCTCATGTACTTGTCATGGCCTGATTGTAGTTGTACCTTTGTATGTTTCTGGTTTTGTTTTGGTTTTTGCTTATATGTGTTTGGTTTTACTCCACAAATAGAAAACTGCACAGCTAAATGAAGACTATCTCTGTCCCCCAGGTATTTTTATTTTTACAACACAGGTTTGCAGAACCAGCGAGTATTATATGTACAGGATTCCTTAGAAGGTGAGGCTAGAGTGTTCCTGGACCCCAACACACTGTCCGACGATGGCACGGTGGCGCTCAGAGGTGAGTGATGCACAACCATACTCACTGGAGTCCTGAGGCCCTCATCTGCGGCTCCGAAGTTAGTGCAGATGCCTTACCTCTGAAATATCAGGCAGGGTGTGGACCATATTGTAGAACAGATGCACACACAATATCAGGAAAGCCAATTTTTGCACAGTATATTTAGAACACATGAATAGTCATATTCCTCTTTTCCTCTCTGATGGCATGAAGCAGAACTGGAGAATAATTTACACTGGACCCAAATTAGCTTCTCAGGCTTCTGGGATCTTGCAGTATCATCATCATTTCCTATAGCATCCTTGAGTCCTATCCATGACTGGAAAAATCTTCTATGAGAAATTTAAGCTATACAAAGAATGTTCTAATTATACTTCTAAAACAAGAAAGAATATTTATCAGATCTATCTCCCCGCAAGGGAGGGAGTGATCAGCATTTTATAATCTAGTTAATTGTCAGTATGTTAGAATTAAAAGTAAAATAACACAAATAATCTTGTAGAAATTAGGCAACTTGGTACCTGAACATGCACGTTTAAAAACTGAATAAGTTTTGCCTGCGATTGATATACATCTCCTACAGAACTCTGCCCCTAAGATAACCTCTTCCACACACTTACCCCGGGTTCGTGCCAGAAACAGAGTTCTAGGGTAAGGAAGTAGGTTATTCTCCAGTTCTGTGGTTTAATAATTGCACACTCTAAAGATTATCTCTTGATAACATCCTAGATGTTCTTAGTG